TTAGGTAGGGATGATTTTAAGAAAATTTTAATTGACACACAGCTTCCAATATTTGGCTTTTAATTTGGTTTTATGGGGGTTTTTTGTTTTTTGATGTATTTTGTTTGTATCTGTTTTAATATGCTGTGCACCGCCCTGAGTCCTACGGGAGAAGGGCGGTATATAAATTAAATTATTATTATTATTATTATTATTATAAATAGAAAAAAGAAAAAAGAAAAAAATCCAAACAAGAATTGGGTAATACTTGGTTGAGAGACCACCAAGAGATCTCAGGCTGCAGACTGGAATTTTTTTAAAAAATCGCAGAAGACGACTACCTAGGAATCCTTGTGAGACAGAAGTGAGAGGGTCTTCATTTTTTTCTATGTATACAGCCTTGCAATTATGGCTATACGCAGAAAGCTGTAGACATAAACCGTATTACATATGCATATTTTTTTACTCTCCCGGAGGATTTTCCGCGCTGAAAACCATAAAGCAGAATATCTTTGGGCTTCCTCGGGTCTCTCTCTGTATGTTTGATGGATTTCTGCTGCTTTGCCCTCGTTATAGATTTTCCAAAAGAATGAGTCAGGGAATAACAAGAGCCGTTCTCTACAAACCCCGGGCGCGAGAAGAGGCTAGCTCCGTTAGAGGAAAATTGCCTTCGTTCCGGTGACAACCGCGCAACGCTGGCCACGCCCACAATCCAATCTGAAGACCCCCGAGCACCTTCGCTTTCTGCTTACCTGACTGGCGCGTCCGTTGCGGGAGAAGTCGTGAGCTTGTCCTTAAGAAACGCATCCCAGTTTAAGGACCGCCCTTTCGCCCTCCGGATTGGCTGGCGAGGCCGGTGCTCTGCGGTCCCTGTTATTGCTGCTGTGTTGCTGCCGTTTGCTGCAACGAATTTTGTGGTCCCCGGCTGGGAGCTCATCCTTAAACCAGGAGGGGTGGGCGATTGAGCGACCCCCGCGGAACTCCGTGACTCGCTGCGTAAAAAAAAGTTATCCATCTCGCGAAGTGGCAGCTGGGGCTGAAAAGAAGCGGTGGCGGCCGAGTAAGCCCCCCTCCCTTCTGCCTTCTCCTCTGGAACAAAGGCGCCGACAGTCTGCTTTGCCCTCGCCGGAGAGATGGCGTCGTTCAACTTCGGGGGGCTCAATGCTGCTTCTCGGAGGAAGAGCATTTATGCCCGCAACGCAGCCGTCGAGAGACGGAATCTCATTACTGTCTGCAGGTAAGTTGGGTTCCCTGTCTGGCTCCATTTGTATACTGTACATATGAAATGAATCTTTCTCTCTCTCTCTCTCGGTCTCTCTCTCTCTCGTGTGTGTGTGTGTGTGTGTGTGTGTGTATGCATGTATATATAACACACACACAAACATCCCTTTTTGGCCTTTTAGCTATAAATAAATATATATATGAATGAATATATATATATTCATTCCCTGAGGTTTGCCTCTGGTTGAAAAAGGTAAGCAGAGTTGAACATAATTCATACTTATGCGTTAGTGTTTATGTGTGTGTTTGTGTATATACCCAGATGAACACAATAATACTAACACCATATATAAAAAGGTAAAGGTTTCCCCTGTCTAGTCATGTCTGACTCTAGGGGGCGGTGCTCACCTCCGTTTTTTAGCTAACATTGCCCAAAGACATTTCTGTGGGCATGTGGCCAACCTAGCTCTACAGAGGAAGGCAGAGGGAACTGAAGGCCAAATATGGCTCTTTTAGGCTCATGCCATGGCATGCATATTTTCCAATGAGACAAACTGAGGCAGGAAGATCATTTTATTACAATTTATCAGAATATTCAGACAAAAGGATTCCTCTCATTCAAAGAGGGAACCCCGATGTTTAGCTTACAACACCTTTTATAGTTAGCACAACAAAGAAACATCCAAGAGGAAAGTTGATTGGACAGGAATCAGTTACATATGGTTAACCATGTTACTTACACATTTGTATCCCATAAGATCACACATGTTCATTAAATGAGGTTTGACATCATTGTAAGGAAAAAAGTTGTTTAGAGTTCACTGAAGAGATAAACCAGATCCCAATTTGTACTAACAAACTTTTTCTTATCTTCAGATAATCTTCAGCTTGTTTATCTCTTCAATCTAGGAATGTTAAAAGCTATTCCTAAATTCCTGTCTGTATTGTACCTGAACAGAGAAAATAATCAATCTGAAGATTTTATCTTTTCAATTTAGGGATGTTAAAAGCTATCTAACCAATCCACACAGCTATCCTATATTCCAATCTGCAATGAACCAACATCATTTTAAAAGAGAGAAAATACATCAAATTAAAATACGAAATAACTGTGTTAGTTAACAAATTACAAAACCCATGTCATTTGTCCCTCAGAACACTGTTATCTTCCCATCGAACTGGTACTTGCATTTACATGCTTGCGAACTGCTAGGTGGGCAGGAACTGGGGCGAATAACTGGAGCTTACCCCATTGCACGGCACTTGGGTCTCAAACCCTGGCTGTGAGCTTTCCAGCTCACAAAATCAGTGGGTGGATGGATGGGTATACACTTACATATATGTAAATATGTATATATATTCCTTGAAGCTTGACTCGTGTTAAAAAAGCTCAGCTGAGTTGAATATAATTCATACTTGGTTGGGTGACCACCAGAAAATACATGGAGAGATTAAAAAAATACATCCTGGAAAAAGGTACTAATGCATTTCTGCCATGAAAAATGCCTGAGCATCTCATTCTGTCCATGTTTTCTGCAGTTTGTGTTTCCCGAGTTCTGTTGTCAGGATTTTCCTGTAAAGTGAATGTGCATAATATTACTGCCTGTTGGCGACTGGAATGATTATTTTGCACCTTTTCTTTCTGGTTTTTTAGCTACTAATATGTTTTCCAGCTTTTGCCATAGGAGTTATTCATCATCCTGCTATGAAAGCAGCGTTGTTGCAAATGTTAAAAATGCTAATGGGGTAACCAACTTTTATAAAACTTTTGTGTATACTCTTCTAAGGAATTTCTTGTTTCTCTTCTTTACCACTGCACTTTCTTCATTCTGCCTTTCAATTCTTTCCCATTTATATCTTCTTAAATCTGAAAACAGATAAAATGACAAGTATTCTTATGCCACTTTCTTGCATTGGAGTAAGATTTATGTCCAGAATTTGTCATGTTGGTTAACGTATACTTTATTCTGTTTTGCTTCTCTTGTGTGTTTTTGTATACTCAAAATGTCATTTCAGAAATATTCCTGAAGTAAATCATCTTTTTTTCTATATGTCCTGCTGACTAAAAATAAGGGCCTCATGCCTTACTATAAGTAATTATATCTCAATTAGGTTTTTTGACTTAGTAGTCTGTAGCGAAGCCCATTGTACTTTAAATCTAATTATGTAGTTTTCTTGGCAACAGTGGGCTGGTGGCCTGCCTTTGCTTTTTTTCAGTATGATATTACTTTTTAGTGTAGAACTGTGGGATTCCTTAGTGCTCTCCCATTAGTATTAATGAGGCCCAATAATGCTTAGGTTTCCATATTCCTTAGGTGTTACCATTGTAGTGTGCTAGGATGCTAAATCCTGAGTCCAGTAGTAATCCACAAAAGAGGCTAAGCTTTTGTAGAACATTATAAAAATAATTATACTGGTGATGAATTTCCATTACTAAGAAAAAAACAGCATTTGCCCTGTACTTCTCATCACTGTAACCTGATTTCTACAAATCCAGGTTAATTTTGTTAATCTAGTGCGTGATGCAAATACAACCAATTTATAACTGAAAAAGTTGATTGAATAAATAACCATTTATGAAGATATTATGCAAATACAGCTGATGCATCCTTGGTTTGTTTTCTATATAAAGTAAGGCTGACATTTATTTGAGATGGAGAAATAAAAGCCTCCATTTAAATCAAGACAAAATGGATGGCACAGAGTACTTTCTGTGATGAAGGTAAAAATGAATAGCATAGTTTCTAGTGACAATGATATATGTCATGAATGTTATAGCATCTAACTAGAAAGCCTAAAAATATATAGGCCCTTGTTTTCATCATCATGCTCTGTTTGTCATAGTGATGGATATTTTCTTTATCAGCTATTTTCCCAATATTACTATCACTATTTCCTGAGTGCTTCCAGGCAGAGACCTTTTAGAACAGTACTATTTAAAAGCTATTGCAGATCTATTTAAAAGCTATTGCAGATCTATTCCAATTATACCTGTTTAATGGATTTTCTTTAGAGAAACAATACAATAATTGATGGAAAAGATATGCCTGGTTAAAAATGAAAGATAATATTGCCTGCATTGCCTGAAAAAATCCAGGCATGGTGATTGCATAATAAAGGCCTTATCTGACAGCATACATTCTTTGTAAAGCTTTATTTTACTCCATTAGCTGGTTCACTTAGCATTATGATGCTTTTGATACGTAGAAATAAAATATGTAGATTATTATGCAGTATGTACTTTAGGCAAGAATAATAAACTTTCTTTCAGTGTTAGGGTAAAAGCTAGGAGAAAGTTATGTTTAGGAAAAACACCAAAATGTTGAAAAGCAAATTTCAGTATTAAGTTGCCTTAATACTGTACAAATTTGATATGGTTGAGGAAGAATGGATTCTATTGCTATTTGACAACTGTAATAAAATACGTTAAGTCTCAAATTCGTATGTAATCTTTAGCCATTGAAGTATGTAAATACTTTATCTATACTATATTCTAGTAATCTCACAGTTAATTGCTACAGTTCTTATATATATCATATGGTTGCTTCCATTTTTGTTCCTAAAATTTTGCTATCTGGCTGCTAAGTACTGAAAAAAATATCTGTTTTGCCAAAACATATTTATTTTGATAAAGTAATCTACTAATAACCTTACTTCTGTTAAATTTGGTAGATATCTGGTATGATCGTTTGTATATGGAATTTGTAGAAATGAAATCTATGGTATTCACATAGTATTTAAATTAGAGCTATAAAATACTGGCATAATTAATATATCTTCCTTCAGTTTTTGAATGCTCTCAATTTACCTTCGAGCTTTAGAAACTTGTTATAAGAGATCCTTGTAGATTATATGATATTTCCAATAATATATTTCATATTCAAGTCCACTTTATGATTTATTGTCGTATGACAAAATTAAGCTATTTCTCCTTCTTTCTCCTTCCCCTTTACCTTGTGGAAAGCGAAGGAAGGAAGGAAGGAAGATGGTAGGTAGGTAGGTAGGTAGGTAGGTGGTAGGTAGGTAGGTAGGTAGGTAGGTAGATAGATAGATAGATAGATAGATAGATAGATACAGGGCTTTTTTTCAGCCGGAACGCGGCGGAACGGCGTTCCGGCACCTTTTTCCGGGCCGGCCGCACCGGAAATAGCCCCTCCCACACCGGAAATAGCCCCTCCCAAATTTTACTTGCATTCCTGTTCTCTAAAGGGGCGGTCCTAGGGTTTGATGAGGGCGTGGCCAGGTTTGAGTTCCGCCACCTTTTCTCCGA